ACTTCCTCTTGATAACGGTGTGGTATTGACACAACTCATATTGCTGATAATCAGCACTTACATCCAAAACTAGAGTATAGCGGTCGACTATCATCAAGGACCCATTCACCATTTCCATTCCTACCGACGGGAGAGTTTTATTACATTCATTTCTTTCTCCTTTCTAACTTCTTCATTCTCACGTTAAACTTTTTTTTATTTAAAAAAAAAATTAAACGTGAAAAGGGAGAAAGAAGGAAGAAGAAAAAAGAAAACCCTTAATTTTAAAGGCTTATCAAATACTATTTGACCAATGTAAAGAAAGCTTGAGAATAATTTATTCTCACGTCCTCTTTGACACTTGTTGGATATATATCCGTCCTTCACATGTCGTATCATAATCATATCATATCGTAAAAACTTCGTGGTTATATCCTTCCCTAATTTATCATAGCCTTAACATCCTTAGACATATCATAGTTGTGTCGTTACCTGAACGTACCTTAGTCATAATGTTACAGGAACGTATCCTAACGCTATCGTTTTATCAATCTATCATAATCCTATCACTTTCTACCCATAACCTAATCGTATTGTTTTATGAATCCATCGTGACCATATCGTTTTTATCAATTTGTCATACCCATATCACTTCGATACGTAACCAAACCATAACATTTCATGAACATGTCTTACTCGTATCGTTACATTACGTTTAGTGCATCCTTCTCGTATCCTATCTCAAATATACCATTGAACACATGGTACCGTACGTACTATCATACAATTCACATATTATAACATATCATAAGCATATCGATTCACAAACATTTCACACATATCATAAGCATACGGATGGTAAGGCCATCTACCTGATTAGCTTAGGCTGGTGTCCCCCATTTATCCTTCAGAAAGTTTGATTTGTCCTTTGTATTAAAGTCAACCTATATGAACATGACATCAATTTCAATCATTTCTCTAAATTTTATGATGCTCTAGTGTTAGATTTCATGGGAATATTGCATGAGCAAAGTCTTGAAATGTCTATATATCAAAACTGTTTTAACACTTCCAAATTTTGATTTTTGGCTGTTTTTGTTTTTGTTTTTTTTTATTGTGTTCCTAATCTTACTTCGGTGTGTTTGTTACATTTTTATTTTATTTTTTTAATTATGTTAGAATTAGCCAATTTAATCAATTCATGCTTTATGTTTATTTATTTATTTTTTAATTATGTTAGTCATTACTTTTGGCTATTCATGGACTTTCTAAATTAAGGATTTTATTTCTCCTTCGTCAAAACCATCCTTAGAGCACAAAATTGAAGTTGTAGTTAGTCAATTATAATATTTGACATGCTAGTTTTCAAACTACTTTAAATGGGTGTAAAGAAAGCATGAGAATAACATAGTGTCACTAATCTGACACGTGTTGAGCATGTACTGAACACTTGTTAATACAATGGATACATTACAAATTTATAATCCATCGTATCAGACACTTGACTTTGAATATATTTTGAGAGTGAAAATTACATTAAGCTTTTTTTTTAAGTATACAAATATATAAACTTATTTATATGAATTTATGTCTAATATAAAATTGATAAATTTTTTGAAATAATTCTTTTTAATTAATGTATCATTGTCACATCGGTGTCCTAGTTTTTTAAGAATGACATATTACTATTAAGAACAGAAAAAGAAAACGGAAAGATCAGAAGAATTGGGAGAAATCTCTCATCCAATTGAAGAAGGACTAAATCAAATCTAATTCAAATAACTAGATCAAATCTAATCCAAATAAGTCAATCAAATCTAATCCTAACAACCCCCCTAAACTGAACACGAATAGTAATCAGTTTATATCTACGACCTCATACCAAACTTCCACCAGATAACTTCATCAATTCTCATGTGCCATTTCTGTTTATTGCTCCAGATCCATAGCTTGCCTCCATTTCTCACTCTTCAATGCTTCTTTAAAGTTTACAAAGTTTGCAGGTTCAGTAGGGGTAAACATGGCTGAGCTTCATCGTCTTCTTTACAAAAAAAAACTTCTCCTATTGCATAGTCTCTCATCCAGACTGCTTCATGAACATCTTCACAAAAATCTTCTCCTATTGCATAGTCTCTCATCCAGACTGGTGGTCTCTTATTTCTCGACTTATTCGAGCTAGGAGAGCTTGCTTCAGCCAAAGAGCCAGATGAAATATTTTACTCTACAGTATTTTCATCTGCCGCTTCTATATCATTATTTTCATCTGCCGCTTCTATATCATAGAGTCCGTAAGCTTTTGACTCTTCACTAACTCCCAGCACAACATAACTCAAACTCTTATCATCTAGCTTAGTTCTCTGAGATGCCTCCTCTTTTTGTCTCTGAATAAACTCTAGCTCACAATATTGTTTTTCTTCCTTCCACTGCAGCTCCAGAACTAATCATCGTTGTGCTTTTTCTACCATTCTTCTATTCTCTTCCAGCATTTTATCTAGCTCTTCTCTCTCTTTTCGTGCTTGTTCTTCTTTTTGTCTTGTAGCAGTTAAAGCGGCTTCTTTCTCTTTCTCAAGCTGCACATCAACATCAACAAACAACTTCGTGCGACCTTCCTCTATTCTCCTCTGTATTTCTAATTTAGTCGCTTCAGAGTTTAGCCTTTTTTCAACCTTCTTCTGAATTAGTTTTTCCATCCTCCTAGCTGCATCTTCTTCTGAATTAGTTCTTCCATCCTCCTAGCTGCATCTTCTTCTAACTTCTTCAACTCTGCTTCACGCCTTTTCTTCTCTTCTTCTTCTTTCTTAAGCTTCTCTATGGAATGATTCCGATCAGTGGATGCACAACTAGGACTGAAACTGAACGATTTGGGGAAAGGAGATAACGAGGAAGACCTACTTCTGCGTTGGCGGCTGAGGGAACTTGAACGGCTGCTTCTCCTGGAATGGGTAATGGAATGATAGGGGGAAGGACTTGGGTCCCTTCTGCTTCTCTGACTATGGCGATAGGAATTGGAGCGGTGAGTGTATGACAGAGACCTTGAACCACTTCTCCCCATAAGTTTCAATTGAGTTTGAGTGGCTGCTACAGGCTGAGATATAGCATGCAATACGAATATTCGATTCAAAGACATCTTTGTCTCCATGATTAAGCCTCTCTCAGGATGAAACACCTTGCATGTTCCATTTTGAAACAAAAAGGTAACCCCCTTTGCTTGCAATTTACCACTACTCAACAAATTGTTCTTCAGGTCTGGCACATAGAACACTCCTGTGATTATCATTATGATTCCATTCACTTCCAGCCGTACATTACCCTTTCTGGTTACAACCATGCTTGACATTCCCATTGAAAATGTTCTAGCTTGTGACAGTTATAGCACTCCACTATGGCATTGTTGAAGCTTTGTTTGCCTCGTCCCCTTCCTCTACCTCTAAAGCTTCCACGACCTTGACTCCTTCCTCCATCAGACTGCACAAGTGGACTCTCCATCGACATACTTTTATTATGACACACTTAGAAGACTGCTGCTTCTAGTTTTACCTAGTTTAGGGCATGGCTCTGATACCAAATTGTTAGGAACAGAAAAAGAAAATTGGAAAGATCAGAAGAATTGGGAGAAATCTCTCATCCAATTGAAGAATGATTAAATCAAATCTAATTCAAATAACTAGATCAAATCTAATCCAAATAACTCAATCAAATCTAATCCTAACATTTACCATATCTATTTGGTATCATATTTATGTCTCGTATCTTTATCTCATTTTTATTTTTGTGACTCTGAGATATTTTGCTTTTATAAATAGATATCTTCACGAAAATAAGTTTAATTTATGTTGAGATGGAGAACAAAAATTTACACTTAAAGGACGTTGATACTTGGGACTTTGATTCCTCTTAGTGTGAAGCTTGCATCTTGCAATTACTTGGGTAGAGAATGTGTTTCACTTAAAATTCACTCAAGAGAAAATAATCAAATAACGAACCATATTTGAGAGAGGATAACTTTTTTTTTTTTTTAATCTTTGGGAAAGAAGAAAGAATAAAAATTAAAACATGGCATGAATGACATCTTCTTGAATCTTTGTTTTGTTCTCCTAAATGTATATAAAAAAAATCTTGTATATTTTTAGATATAATTTAAGATTACCTATTTAATAAAACTCTATCCAAACTTCTACTCATAAATTTAATTATTATTTGTATACAATTGTTAATATGTAAGAAAATACACGTACAAAATGTTTATACTATTGGTAGTACACTAGTCTCGGTTGTTTGACTAAAACAATGCAACCATTGTCCAAACTAAAGAATTTGATTCGAAGCTATCTCCTAATAGAGGGAGGCTCAATTAGACTTTGTTGTAAGATTCGACCCTATCAATTTGAATAGCGTTCTCCAACTATAAATATTGAACTCTAAAGTATTCACGAGCAAAGTAAGTTTGTTGAAACTATCTATAAAAGTGTTCCAAAGTGAGTCGTGGAGAAGATTTGCCTTAAAATCTAGTTCCAATTAAGGATGTCAATGATGAAGAGAGGTTTGCCGTGGAAACTTTCAGAGGTGGTAGATATAATTTAATCTACAAGCGGGTGGAGAATGGTCTTTTCAGTCCCATATAAGCTTTGACCCCAAATTTTATATTATTGTGATAGAAGCTATAAATGACAACAATATTCATTGGTCAAATTTGCAATTGTGAAGAAGTTCCATCATATGCATGGGACGCTACCGCCATCCTATAAGCTCTTATCTTTTGAGGAATTCATCAAATTCCCTCTCCACAAGTAGTATAAGCAAATTCTTCCCTCTCCACAAGTAGTTCATGAAATTCCCTCTCCACAAGTAGTATAAGCAAATTCTTCCCTCTCCACAAGTAGTATACGCTCTTATCTTTTGGAGGAATCTTTTAAGGAATTCATCCAACGCTCTTATCTTTTGGAGGAATCTTTTTCTCTCGTACCCACCTTATACATAATATGTTAAATTAATTCATACTTAAAAAAATAATCTCTCCCTTTTGGAGATGCGGGGGTATCGATCCCCGTACCTCTCACATGCTAAGCGAGCGCTCTACCATCTGAGCTACATCCCCACAATTTTTGCATCACAAAATCCTAAATTTTCCGTCATCAATAATAGTGAAAATGAAGAAATATTGCTACCCAACATGTCATGAATAGGGAAAAATTGAAAAGAAATAATATATTTAGTATTAGATAGTCTTATTTTTGGAGATGCGGGGTATCAATCCCTGTACCTCTCGCATGAAAAGCGAGCACTCTACCATCTGAGCTACATCCCCGTGATTTTTACATCATAAAACCCTAAATGTCCCATCATTAATAATAGTGAAAATAAAAAAATATCAAAATATTAATAACAAATAGTTTGGTTTGGTGATGCGGGGCATCGATAATTGTGAAAATGAAAAAATATAATAACAAATTAAATACTTTCTTTTGGAGAGGCGGGTTATCAATCCCCGTACAACTCGCATGCAAAGTGAGCGCTCTACCATCTAAACGTCTCGTCATGAATAATAGTAAAAATGAAAAAATATCGCTACTCATTATGTCATAAATAAGGAAATATTGAATAGAAATAAAATAGTAATAACAAATAGTTTCTTTTGGAGATACGAGGTATCGATCCCCGTATCTCTCGCATCACAATTTTACATCAAAAAACTCTAAACTTCCCATCATCAATGATATTGAAAATGAAAAACTATCCCCGCTCATTATGTCGTAAATAAGGAAAAATTTAAAAGAACTAATATACTTAGTAATCGTTTCCTTTGTTGATGCATGAAAAACTATCCCCGTATCTCTCGCATCAAAATTTTACATCAAAAAACCCTAAACGTCCCTTCATCAATAATTGTGAAAATGAAAAAGTATCTCTGCATATTATGTCATAAATAAGGAAATATTGAATAGAAATAAAATATTAATAATAAATAGTTTCTTTTGGAGATGCGAGGTATCGATCCTCGTACTTCTCGTATGCTAAACCGTACCTCTCGCATCCTAAGCGAAGCTACATCCCCACAATTCTTGCATCACAAAACCTTAAATTTTTCATCATCAATAATAGTGAAAATGAAGAAATATCGCTACTCAACCTGTCATGAATAAGGAAAATTGAAAAGAAATAATTTTCAATAATATATTTAATAACATAGTTTTATTTTGGAGATGCGTGATATCTATCCCCGTACCTCTCGCATGCAAAGCAAGCGGTCTACCATTTGAGCTACATCCCCACGATTCTTATGTTATAAAATCTTAAACGTCTCGTCATCAATAATAGTGACATGAAAAACTATCCCTACTCATTATGTCGGAAATAAGAAAAAATTGAAAAGAAATAATATATTTAGTGATCGATTCATTTGGAGATGCAAGGTATCAACCCCGTACTTTCCACATCAGAAGTGAGTGCTCTACTATCTGAATTACATCCCCACAATTCTTACATCAGAAAACCTTAAACCTCCCGTCATCAATAATTGTAAAAATGAAAAAAATATCTACGCTCATTATTTCATAAATAAGGAAAGATGGAATAATATATTTAGTGATAATGAAAAAATATCTCCGCTCATTATTTCATAAATAAGGAAAGATGGAATAATATATTTAGTGATAATGAAAAAATATCTCCGCTCATTATTTCATAAGTTTAGTGATCGATTCATTTGGAGATGCAAGGTATCGATCTCCATACTTTCCACATTGGAAGCGAGCGCTCTACCATCTGAGCTACATCCCCACGATTCTTACATTAAAAAATCCCAAACCTCTCGTCATCAGTAATTGTGAAAATGAAAAATATCTCCGCTCATTATTTCATAAATAAGGAAAGATGTAATAGAAATAAAATATTAATAACATAGTTTACATATGTGTCACTTGTGTTATTTTAATGTATTTATTTACTTGGTAAATGTCGTTCATACCACTAGACCAAATGCCCTTGTTATACCACTTGAAACGTATGTATGAAGCCTTGGGATGGGATGTTAAGAAAGACTATGAGTATTAAGAGCATGGTGGTAAGTATAAAATGTCGAATATGAAGTTAGGTTGATTTCGAATATGAAGTCCTTAGATAAGAAGAGATTTAGACATAGGGGCATTTCAAGAATTGAACTCAAAACCTCTTGCACCCCCGTGAGAATCATACTACTAAACCAAATGCATTTTCTTGAACACCCAATATTTTTAGCTTCTACTCAAATATATTTTTCTCTTAGTAGTTGGAGGGCTATAAAACGAAAAGTTGAATTGTTATAATATACAAGGGTTATCAAATAAACCAACAACCCAACAAAAGAAACAAACTAATCAATTTTGGTTGGATTGATTCGGTTCAGTTCATGAGTTTGTTTGATTTAATTTTTCTATTTTGCCTCGTATGACAAGAAAATAAAGTTGTATCGAATGCACCTTAGTTTCATTTATGACAAACTCATATGAAACATAATTGCATTAATAGTACTCAGAGTTGGAGTCTATAAGCATTTCATGAACTTCAGTGCAATTCATGCTTCATTAAAGATGAGATGAACTTTAGTTATGTAGAGAAACTTTAAATTGCTTCATGTGGAGCTTCAATTACTATATGCTAGTTACAATCTTTAGGATTGACTANAGTAGTTGGAGGGCTATAAAACGAAAAGTTGAATTGTTATAATATACAAGGGTTATCAAATAAACCAACAACCCAACAAAAGAAACAAACTAATCAATTTTGGTTGGATTGATTCGGTTCAGTTCATGAGTTTGTTTGATTTAATTTTTCTATTTTGCCTCGTATGACAAGAAAATAAAGTTGTATCGAATGCACCTTAGTTTCATTTATGACAAACTCATATGAAACATAATTGCATTAATAGTACTCAGAGTTGGAGTCTATAAGCATTTCATGAACTTCAGTGCAATTCATGCTTCATTAAAGATGAGATAAACTTTAGTTAGGTAAGGGGAACTTTAAATTGCTTCATGTGGAGCTTCAATTACTATATGCTAGTTACAATCTTTAGGATTGACTAATTGGACAAGAATTCATGGATTTAGGGAAATTTTTGTGTAATTATCAACTACAACTTATGTTTTCAAATTTTTAGGACATAATTTAGGTAGTTGTTTTTATGAGTCGTAAACTTGTTTCTTTGCATAATATGGGTTTAGTTGAACTATTATTATCGATAAGATGGAGAAAGAAATTGTCTTTGAATTGACTAATAGACCTAGGTTCATCGTTGTTGTCTTTTAACTTGTGATTTTGCAAAAAGCTTAACTAATATGAACTGTCATGTCACAAAAACTTTTAAATCAAGAATACACCCTACACATCATTCAAGATGGCAAATGGAGTTAAATTGAACGAACTTTAGTTTCATGTTTGGCGTGTTCAAGATAAAACATAATTGTGTTATTGATATTGAGTCTGAAGTCTAAGAATTTAATGATCTTAAGAGAAATTCCTGTTTTATTAGAGATACCAACTTTATTTAAGGTACTAGGAGTTCAAGAATCTGGATTTGAATTTGGTTAAGGAACAGTAAGATTTGAAAGTTTTGAATTCTAGACCAAATTTGTACCTAATTATTTCTTATTTGAAAGTTTTGAATTCTAGACCAAATTTGTACCTAATTATTTCTTTTTATGACTAATTATAAATTAAGAGAAAAATATTTTTGTAAAGATAGATTTATCTCTAAAACTTTCATGACGAAACCATGTTTAGACTAGCAGTTTAAAGTCAGGAGATGCGGTCATAGGTGTGATTATTTTTTATGGGTTCGTAATAGAACTTACGGTTGAGATGAAGGAGCCTTCAAAGGTTGTACACTCACAGATGGGGTTGTTATGTAGTGTTAGTCTGTCTTTGTGTTGGAGTCTTTTTGTACTTTTTTTTTTTTTTTTGTAATTGTATCCCAAACAAATTTTTTTTTATGTTTGGATAAATTTGAACAACACCGTCTTATAATTTAATTTAATTTTATATTTAATGTTGTGTTGTTTTCTCAATCTCATTTTAATTTTACAACATTTTCTTATTTTATATGAATTTACTTTTATTTTTATTTGTTTTCACTCTCAATTTTAGTTTCTATTTGAGTTTTGAACCCTTGAAATTTGGGTTGTGACACATTGGTACCAGAGCAGCCAGATTTTAAATTATATAGATTTTTTCATAAGATAAAGAGTCGTATATATCTATGACTCAGCTTGATGTCACGTCTCTCCGCGACCAAGTAAGCAGTCTAACCTTATTTTGTAGTATATGATATGTTGTAAAACTTGTATGAATTTATTGTATGTTTTGATTTTCGTTGTAGTTATAAAATGTCCCTAGACGTTAAAGAGTGAACGTTAACTATATAAGACAATAGTGGATCAACGTTATAGTGTCTAGATATGGTGAGGATGAAAAGAGTGGTCATGAGATATCTGACTAGCCATAGGAAAACAGAGAGTTGCCGTTGCACAGTGCGAGACATCTATCCATGAAATTTTGGTACTAGAAATGAAGAAACTGGAGATGGTCCCCGCGAATCGCAATTTCTTTGGTTCCCTGGCAGCGTCAACCAAATTAACCCTACGACGTGACAATCCTTGAGCTTCCACTCCTCCGTGGTCATGGTATCCAGCTTCACCCTCAAAATGGGTTCCTGAATATCTTTCTCGTATAGATAATCTTAAATCTGCATCTTCTAGAAACTGATATCAAATCCATCAAATTTTTCAATTCCAGTCTTTGAACTTTCAATCTTCACAGATCGTGGTGAATCTCTCCTCGCTCTGATACTTGTTATTAGAATCACACAATAGCGCACACACTTGATCTAAATGAACACAAAGAACATGATAGAGAAAATGTAAGATGAAATATTTACCAATGGTTTTGTATTAATGACTTTAGGTATGCAAAGAGAGGATATGGAGAATGAGAAATGTACATTTAGGAAGCACTGACTAATGGGTATACATATTATTTCAGTTTATTATATATAGCTTCACTATATGTAACCGCCTACTATATATAATTATTTAGTATATATTTCTCTATCAGATTTTTACT